CGGGGATGGTGGCGCTACGCCCGCGCGCGCCTCGCGGCCCAATCAGCACCCCGGGAGGTCGGTAGCCCTCGCGGCCGCCGTCGCGGCGCACGGGCGGCGACGGCGGCGGTTGCGACTGGCCCGGCGCCACTGGGGAAGAGGGCTGCACGACAAGTTGCAAAGCGGAAATACGGTAGACCCTCGGATTCCAAGTAAACGGGTTTGCAAGCGTTTTGCAAGATGAGCGTATATTTTTGGAGAGTTTTAACTCGATATGCGATCAATGCTTCGCAATACGAGTAGATCGTGTCAGCAGGTGGCAATATGAGTAGTTATTGTACAGTTTATCTTTATTAAATGAAGTGCAATAAAGAAATTCACATTAAATATTAATGTCAAAAATGTTTATTACACGTTTGAAGAGCAAGTCACTCAAGCAAGAATGTATAGCACATGATTAAAAAATCAAATTTATCTCAATGATAATTCACCGATATATTACACACAATACAAAATGTAATAACTGTATTCCAAAATCAGAATAGAATATAAATATCACACATTATTACGTATAGAAAATTAACTTTTTTAAATTTTGGCGTAATGCAGGGTTACAGCTTGAAATAATCTTACCTAGAGGCGAGGCCAAGTTGATGGCGTTGTGAGTTGTAAATTAATACTGAACAATGGAATGTATAGGTGCATCAACGGAACTTTGATCATTAAGGTCTTGTCCCATCCAAACAAAGTAATGAACAAATGACGTCAGACAAACGTTAATACTATTAATATTCCAATTTGATTAATAATTAGTGTTGATACTACAAAATTGATCAAAAATAGCAAGGGATAATACATGTGAGTTCTACTATGTTTTATTTTTCAAAAAGGATCATGACATTTGGCTGAGTAGAAAGTTCACTTTATATATATATATATATATATATATATATATATATATAGTGTGTGTGTGTGTGTTGAAACGCGGTACGTTTCTTTAAATACATGTATTTTGAATTGCGCGGTAACGGCAGCGAGTAGTTGACGAGATCAGGGAACGGGTCAGGCGCGAGAAGGCGGCGAGACGACGACGGTTGGTAGGTAAGAGAACACGAAGGAGAGCGGAGTCGGTGATGATGCGCGTGGCGAAAAAGGAACAAAGTGAAGTTAAATAGCGGAAGAGAAGCTATTAGAGAGTGAATTAAGTGTGATAGTGGCCGTTAATAAGTAGTGAAAGCTTGAACAGACGGAATAGGTGTCGAGAACTGTGGTGACAAGGTAAAAACTATAGACCGCATGGCCGGTAACGACAGTGAAGAGTTGCCAGGTGTATACGTGAATGTGAGAAAGTACACGAAGTATAACTGGTGGGTTGTGCGGCAAGGGAGAACTGATATGACCAACGAAGGATAGGTGGACAGTAATATCGGTGTTAGTGCATGCCAGACCCGAAATACATTCACGACGGTCGGGGTCGAAACAGAGGTGTCGTTGTGTGAACATTGTGGAAGGCTGGGCCCGTGGTTTCCCAGCGAAGGTCAACCGTCCGAAGGGCGCCGAGTCGCGCCGAAGGCCGCCGATCGACGTGGCCGCTGGGGAGAATCCGAGAAGAAGCTAATGGTTCATTGCATTCAAAGTGTTGTGTATCTGAGCTCATATGTATAGTTTTGGTACCAAAACGGGGGTTGATCAAACTGGAATTGATGTACGACATTTGTGATTTTGGTTATAAAGTGTCTGCTTGTTTAAAAAATGACGATTGAGTTTTTCCAATGTTTCCGTCAAACCTTCAGAGGCCCATTCACGAACCAAGACACCTGTCCCTTCTAAAAATAAACTTATTGGATCACACCGCATTGAAGGTACGTCACAATATAAATGGGGCCATGACGTACCTGCGGCGCGGCGTGAAAACTTCGCATGGGCCCCTGGGGCCCGCACGGAGACAGCGAAGCTCCGGATGCCGCCGCCATCTTGTCTCGCGACATGACGCCAAATGGCGACTCTCCCAGTCCGCTGCGGACTACAGTCAAGGGCACGCCTGGTGGACCTCCGATCGCAAACTCTGAAACACGAGCGTCAAACACTGGCGACGATAGATCAGCGATAAAACCGTTAGCCTGAAAAGATCGTAAATGAATTTCAAATTTCAAGACCTATTATTTTAATTCCATCCTTGGGTAAAATATTAGACAAACACATATTACTCATATTGACAAAATATCTCAACGAAAACTAATTTTTCAAAATATGACCAAATTTTGATAATTAATGAATGTACAAATAAGACACACAAATCCTGGATCTAATCATTAAGAAAAATGTTTAAATGGGCTTTAGTAAATGACTCTGCTCTCTAGCGAAGATGATATGAGCCCTTCTCAAAAATATGCACAAATATGGAGTATCAAATATGTTTCCAATGACATCAAATATCCTAATGCGTGAACATATGGCAAAGGGTTTGAATAAAACTAATGAACGTGCAAATATATTATTACTACTAATCCTAGCCCTGATCACCCTCAAGGAAACTTTTGAATCTTCGTTTATTAAGGGATACAGGGTGTTCGGACACACATGCAAACAGAATATTGTTAAAAAAACAAGGTAAGTGATGCAAATAAGACCAGTGCAGGTAATTCGTATGAGCAAGTAGCGGCTATGGTGTTAGCTGATACTATTTCCGTTTTATTGTGCTAGCATACAGTCTGGGAGAATGTAAGAAGAACGTTAACACCCTATCAGACTTGTTGACACGCGCATTCGTACTCTGCAGCTTTTATTGTGAAGAATGCGCTGAAGGCGCTCTGTCTTTATATCTCCTTACAAAATTCTTTATAACTTCTTATAAACTTTCCAGAAACTCTCGCGCTATTGTTTTAAAACAGGATTTATTTCAGGCCGTATTTTCGTCAGATTAGACTCTAAAAGTGTAATTTATATTATATATTAGTATAGTTCCATGGGCATGCTACAAGAAACAAACTAATTTATCTGCAAGGCATAAAATCTGCATGTGAGCATATTACATTCAAATTGCAATGTTTTTGTAAAATAAT